ATCAGTTCTTACATTTAGGTCTGTGATCCATTCCCTGCATTTCCACATAAATTTTAGGATCTACTTGCTAATTTCTGAAGAAGAAAAAAAGACAGTTGGAATTTTTATAGGGACCACATTGAATCTGTGGGTCAATTTGGGGAATGTTGCCATCTTAACAAATTATGTTTTCTAATCTGTGAACATGGGATGTCTTTCCATCTGTTTAGATCTCTAATTTCTTTCAATGATAGTTTGTCATTTTTAGTGTACAAGTTTTGTACTTCTTTGGTTACATTTATTCCTAAGTATTTTATTATTTTCGGTGCTATTATAAATGGAATTGTTTTCCTAAATTCGTTTTCAGATCATCCATTGTTAGTGTACAGAAATACAATTGAAATACAAAGACTTCAACTTTGCCAGGTACAGTGGCTCACATCTGTGATCCTAGCACTTTGGGAGGCCAAGGTGGGAGGATTACTTGGGGCCATGAATTTGAGACCAGCCTGAGCAACATAGGGAGACCCCATCTCTACAAAAAATTTTTAAAAAATTAGCCAGGCACACAGCTGTAGTCCTAGCTACTCAGAAGGCTGAGGCAGGAGGATTTCTTGAGCCCAGGAGTTTGAGGTTGCAGTGAGCTATGATGATGCCACTGTACTCTAGCCTGGACAACAGAGCAAGACCCTATTTCAAAAAAAACCCCAAAACTCCAATCTCTTATCCTACAACCTTGCTTAACCTTGTTTATTAGTCTAATAGTTGTGTAAGTATGTATTCCTTAGGACTTTCTATATGTAAGATCATGACATCTGCAAATAGAAATAGTTTTACTTCTTCCTTTCCAAGATTAATGTCTTTTATTTCTTTTGCTTCTCTAATTGTCCCAGCTATAACCTACAGTACTGTACTGTACAGTGTCGAATAGAAGGGATGAGAGAAGACATCCTTGTTTTGTTTGTGATCTTGAAGGGAACACATTCATTCCTTTACCATTCAATATGGTATTAGCTGTGGATTTTTCTGATGCTCTTTACCAAGTTGAAGGCGTTTCCTTCTACTCCTAGTATTCAGTGTTTTTTTTCTTTTTAAATGATCATGAAAGGGTGTTGGAGCTTGTCAAAGGGTTTTTCTGTATGTATTGAGATAATTAAGTGGTTTTTGTCATTTTATTAACATGGTATATTATATTGATTGATTTTTGTATGTTAAACCAATCTTGCACTCCTGGGATAAATTCCACTTGATCGTGGCATATAATCCTTTTATATGTTGCTGGATTTAGTTTGCTAGTATTTTGTTGAGGATTTTTGTGTCTAGAGTCATAAGGGATATTGGTCTGTGGGTGTTTTTTCTTGTGAGGTCTTTGCCTGGTTTTAATATAAGGGTAACGCTGGCTTCATATAGTTGGAAATTTCCCTCCTGTTCTAGGTGCCACGTTTATTCTAACATGAAAGTTTCTGCTCATGCCATTATCTGACAGGTTCATGCCTTGCCTCTCAGCTACTCCAAGTCCTGCCCGTCGTTTGGAGCCAGTTCAAGGCCTCCTCATTCCTGAACCCTTTCCTGACTGCTCTAGCCCCAGAGTGAGCTCGCCTGCTCTGGATGGAGCCCCTTTACATCTCATTGTGCTTACAGCTGGCACTTAATATAAGTGCTGTAGCTGTGCATGATACAATAAATACTAGGTGTTCAACAGAAACTGGAAGCAGGACAGGTGAAGTCCCAGTGAGTAGCAGAGCCTCAATCAGGCAGCTGGAGGCAGGTGGACAGCTGACCTAGCGACCCAGGACCAGTGTGACAACTCAGGGCCATGTGACTAGCTCCTCAGTGAAGCTGCAGCCTCCCTGAGAGGCAGAATAGTGGGCGGTTTCCTAAGAATGTACTCTTTATTGCTTGAATAGTGGCTCGGGGACTTACCAGCTATATGATCTTTGGCAAGTCACTCTCTAGCCTAGTTTTCTCACCTTTGAGCTGGGGACAATAATGTCAGCTTTAAAGAGCCATGGTAAATATTACATGAGTTCGCCTATGCAAAACACATCGTATTAAGTTCAATCGGTGGTACCTTTACTACATGCCATTGCATATTCTCAGTAAAGACAGGGTCTTTCAAGATTCAAAGGAATCTTGAAAATGCTCCGTAATACATCCCACTCTTTAGGAAGTCACAGGACACATTAGCATAGCGAGAGATTTGTCAAGTCCCACATAAATGCTCCTATTTATTTTTGCCCAGAATTTCCCAAACCTATTTACCAAGATGATTGTTTCCCCCTTTTTAAATGTAACATCTACTTAACACACTACTGGAAACATAATATTTGTTGTGTTTCATTAAGAAAAGAAGTCACATCAAATTGTTAAAAACTGATCATCTTTTATTGCTTCGCTTTACCCAAAGAATGTGTAATTTAAAAGCAGCAGCCTAGGAGAGATAAAGGCTTCTAACCTAGAGAAAGAACAGAATGCTTTAAAAGCCCAAAGGAAATGGAAAATTTCAAGCAGAAGACCAGATCAATAAGGAGCTATTCTTGGCCATGAAGACATTTCTAGAATTACAGATTCTTGGAGTTTGACAGCATGTTAAAGGTCAGCTCCTTTAAAGCTAAAATTCACACCCAGTGCAGAAATCCCACCTTCGCTGGCCCTGCAGACACATGCCCAGCCCCCCATTTTTAAGCAGCTCTAGTTACTGGGCTGAAATCTGCCTCCTTGGAACTTCTACCCAAGATTATGTTAATGGAATTTTGAGTTTTGTGTTTTAGTGAGAACTGTTCATTCTGGAGACAGCAAATAAGATGCACAGAAAGTTTGTTGAATCATTATCACAATGTAAAGTAACATGTCTATTAACTGAGCAGTGAACTGAACATAAGAATTTTGGGGAACAACATTTCATTTTCTCCATCCATAAATAGGGTGAATAATCCAAAGTTCGGCTATACTGTAAGCAATGCATGTAAATATTTACTTTGTGGGTAACATTACTTCTAATTGCCAATTCCCTAGAAAGAGGGAATACATATTTTTAATAAATTACTTCTGTTTTCTTGTGTTTCTATCTTTTTTTTCCCCCAATGTTGTCCAGGCTGCAGTGCAGTGGCTACTCATAGGCACAATCATTAACACATTACAGCCTTGAACTTCTGGGCTTACGTGATCCTCAGACTCCCGAGCAGCTGGGACGATAGCCACGCACAACCACACCCAGCTCTGTGTTTCTATCTTAAAGTATTTAAAGTGAGATTTAAAAAAATTCATAGTTCAAAGCTTATCCTTATGGCTTCCTTATTTATAAGAAGAGTTGATTACAAAAACAACTGTTTAATTAAACTATAGTACATGTCTCATAAATGCAGGTTTACAAACAAGAGCCAATAATGAGAACAGGTGACATTATTAGAAATGTAGCTGTTTGATTCAAAGTGGAATTTCCCAAAGCTTTGTAAAATCTAAAACCTTACAGAAAACCCCAAGAGGTAATGGAATATAGGACTTATAGGGGATGAAAACCGCAGGGTCCAGGCTACTCTAAGAGTCCAACATGATTCAATTAGAAATTGGACTTGGAAAAACCATAACCTGCTCTAAGGATGGGTCGTGTTTTCATAGGTCTGTCCTTCCAAAGGAGAACTTTCCAGACTTGACTTCATTTTGTGTTAAACTGCTACTTGGTCACATCCTGGTATGTGTTCCTCATTCTGATACTGTGCAGCCAAAAACGTTCACATTCCTATTTTACAACTGAAGAAATTGATAAAATCGAAACTGACTGCTACTGCACAATACTCAAATATATATCAGTACTGACATTCCAGCAGTTGGGTCAGTGACAGCTGTGTTCACCTTTCGGTTAAATCCCTCCCTTCAGTTAAATTCAACAGTTTTCTTACCCTGAAGGGTAAAGGCAATAGAAGACAAATACTGGCCTGCCAAGGAAGGAGTCAGTTTTAGGACTAACAAACGCTCTTGGTGAACACTGTAACGCTTAACATACAACTTGGCTGAGGGTTTTGTAATTTGGGCACAACAATAGTGTCCATTAGAATTTACTTACTGACACGCACCACAGAGGATGTTTTGTCTTTGTCCTTGAAACACAGCAAGAGTATCACAGATTATACCATCTAGTCCTTCAACTTAACTTATGCAGTTCCAGGCATTCACACATTTTTTTGAGCATGTAATAAGAGGCTGAATAAAACCTGGTCCATGACTTCGTGGAACTGACAGTCAAGCAAGAAAGACAGACAAGCAAATCAATAGTTTCCATAGAAAGTGACAAGCTCTTTGCTGGAACCAGGCGCACGATGCCCGGGGAACACAGGCAAGGGCAAATAAATCAGCTCGGGTTGTTGGAAAAGGCTTCTCAGAGGAGCTGGTTTCTAACCTGTCAGTATCAGTGTTTAACCGTCTGTGACTCTGACTCCAATTCCCAGAACTCAGGTGAGAAAGCACCTCCTGATCCTGCTTTTCTGAGTTCCTGACACTGTCTCAACTAGATTTAGTGCCCGTGTTCTATGAGGGGGGAAAAGGAAGTAAAGGAGGGAGAAAAACAAAGAGTAGGAGTCATCGAACACACACAGGCTCCAGAAGTTGCCAGGGGTTAAGGGTCACCACCTGTGCCCAGTCTGCGTCCTCGACGAGGGCGTAGTATCTTGCCCATGACACCCTTTCTCTTCGCGAAGCAACAGCACATGGGAACACGGTCTTCTCCAATCTGAGGAACCCTGGGGAGCTGAGCCAGCGAGGTGCTGCCTCCCACCACGAGCGAGGACAGCCAAATGCTCGCCCCAGCCCTGTGTGCACCGGAAACTGAGCTCAGACTCATTTGCTAACTCTCCAGGGTGGCTTCTCCACAGAGGACACCCCGAGTCTTCCCCCTTCCCAGAGATGGAACACGTTTGTGATTCTCTCCTGTCCGCTGAAACCAAAACCAGCACCTACCTCCTTTGGGATCCCATCCCCACCCTGGGACTCCACCAAAGACCTGAAAAGCAAGCCTAAGTTATTACCTTAGACTGTCCTCCAGCGTCTCCTCATCCGAAGAGAAAGTCCCATTGCTGACACTCTGGTGAGAGTCACTCTTCCTCCCCACTGACTTCTCCCGGGACGACGGAGCGTCTTTCTTGTTCCTTTTGCCAAACAACTTCTTAAAAGGCTGGAATTTGCCTCCCTTCTTCTTGTCTGCGGATCACAAGATAAACACACACACGCTGCAGTCTGGCAGGGCTGCACCTTGGAGCCTTCGAGCAAATTACAGCTGAACGCCTCTGGCCAAGGCAGCGGGGCAAAGGGCAGCCGCCGGCCCCAGGGAGCAGCCAAGCCCTGGGCCAGGAATGTCAGGACCAGCCCTGATGCGGCCCGTGCACAGTGGCAGAGCAGAAGAGCACGCTGAGTCCTCTGTCCCCCAGGCTCCCAAGACACTTCTGGGGAGAACAGGAAGAGGCTCCAAGCTTCATGGTGGCCAACACAGCACCCCTTGGCACATGCTACCCGAAGGCGGTGCCTGCTTTCTTTAACAAAGCAGATGGCCCGCGCCCTTCTCCATGGATGAAGCTGAGAAAAACATGTAAGTCGGACAGGTGTTTAAAAAAATTTATATATATACACGTATTCTCTTTGAGAATCATTCTCTTTTGGCCTTTATTAGATACAGAAGACAACTGTTAACTCTCGGTGTAAGCTTTGCCCCCAATTCCTCTATCCCATATATTTCCAGTTTACTTCTCTTGTCTGTTCTTAAAGTTTACTATGAAGAGCCCCGAAGGAGTTGCTATGAACATCTTCCCATATATTACTTCATCTAGTCGGGACCCGGGCCTGCTGCCAACATTTGCTACAGATGTTTTAGGTAATACCTTTCAGTTCTGCTCCTTTGGATACAAATTCCTTCACATTTCTCCACTCCCACCTTGGAAAAGAAAGTGTAAATCACCCTCCCCTAGAAGAAGCATCTTCTCAGATCTTTCTCTGTTCTTTAAGAAGCTTTAAGAACCACTTATGCAGTGGTCTGACAATCATTTTCTTAAAAAATTGTTTAACCGTTACTATGTACCACGGCTGTAAGAACATTATAAATATTAACTCGGTTAATTCTCACAATAACCCTATTACGTAGATACCATTAACATTCCCATTTTACAGATGAGGAACCTGAGACATGGAGAGATGAAACGTATCTTTGAAGAGGGAGTCGGAAGTTTTGAAGGTGAAGGAAAGACAGAAGCTGACACTGTGAATAAAAAAATACCAGCACAAAACACACAGGCCCACTCCCACCCCACCCCCCCAGCTGACTGTCAGAGGCCCCAGGTTCTACTGGCCAGAATCTACAGAGGGATCTGAGTATAAAAATGAAGTCAACGATGTAACAAGCTAGACATCGCATTTCCTGTGGTGATCTTCAGTTCTGGCCTTACTGAGACGTCACAGAAAATTTGATGTGAGGAAGTGGTTCAGACCCCTTCGCCCTACGCAGTGGCATAAGGCGCTGAGAAAGCAGACGGAATAATCACCTATCACAAAATAGACTACAGTCTGGGATCATTAGTACAGGTGCAAACAGACCTCCAAACTTCAGTAGTTCCCTGAAACAACGTTGTATTAGATCACATTTAATAGGAAAAGATATTATAACACATCAGGTGCCTCCTATACATAAGGCATTGTGCTAGGCATACAGTCCTCAAAAAAGAGTTAAATTATTTTTACCATGTATTATTTAAAAGACAAGAATTGTGCAATACAATTGAAATCATATCATTTTAAAATGGTTAAACCAAAAAAAAAAAAAAAAACCACAGAGGGTTTGATTTCGGAATGTTTGTATATTTTAGTGGTTATTTATTCAGAAGTAAATATAGGCCAGTGATTTTCATGATACCTACTTTGGGTTCTTATGAGTAAAAAATCTCCAAGGGATAATTTTTAAAAATTATAATCAGTAGTTTTTGAAGACCATCCAAGAACATCAGACAAGTATCAAAAGAATGACCTTACATAAGTCAACTTTTAAAAATTTAGATTTAAAAACATTCTGTAAGGCACCACGGGTATCATTACATAATTCTATAACCCTGTGGTCCCCAAACCCTGGGCCAGGGATCAGTATCGCACAGCAGGAGGTGAGCGGCAAGTGAGCAATTGAAGCTTCATCTGTATTTACAGCCGCTCCCCATCGCTCGCATCACCGCCTGAGCTCCGCCTCCTGTCAGATTGGTGGCGGCATTAGATTCTGCATTATGGTGCGCGGTGTAATTATTTCATTATATATTACAATGTAATATTAATAGAAATAAAGTGCACAATAAATGTAATGTGTTTGGATCATCCTGAAACCATCCCCTCTGCTGCGCCCCCACAGGTCCTTGGGAAAACTGTCTTCCACGAAACTGGTCCCTGGTGCCAAAAAGGTTGGGGGCCACTGCAGTATAACTGATCTTTGGCACCAACAAATGAAAGAAGTGAGTTCTTTCTCTACAACTGTCCAAGGCTGAAAATATGTAAATGATCTGATTTTTAGGTTTGGCAGCATCATAGTAAATGGTCAAACAGCGATTTATATTATATTCCACTTATTTCCAAGGTAAAATTCTTCCCTTTTTTCCTTTTACATCAACTGTCTTTTTCCCAATATCTAACCAAATTTCTAATCAAAGGACAGCAACAAAATTCTAAAAATATCACTTATGACATCATTACTCCTGCCTAGGTCCACAGATCGAGCTTTACGTTAAGCCGACAATTGTAGATTATGTTAGAGTTTATTGATGGGGGAGAAAAAAAGATCACTGCTATAGAGTCAAGGTGGCTTTGGAGATGCTCAGTTGAGCTCCAAGTGGTGGCAGCCACCATATAAAATATTTGTTGCATTGGTCCTATCATTGGGGGAGACAGAAAGTAAACAGGACCTGGAAGGAGCTGAATCCAAACACAAGGATGCAAAAAAGACAGTCTTGGAGAGGAAACCAGGATATGGAAGCCTCGACTCTGAGAAGTGAGGGGGCTTCGGCAAGCACAGAGCATCCTCCTTCAGGTGACCCATTTATAGAGCCAGGCTGCTCGAGGACTGCTTGTGAAACAGGCACTCCACTGCTCTGTGCTGCTCATTAATGGGCAATAACTGGGCTCGAGGACACATGCACCATCCTGGAAGATGGGACAAAGTCCAAGTGCCAGTGAGTACACGTCTCATGAATGCCACAGGAACCCTGTTGCAGCAATGCCCTGGTCACTATCAGGAAGGTGAAAGAACAGTAAAGTCTAACCGGACTCTCCTACCAATCCTTCCTACCACGAGTAAAAAATGATTCTAAGTCCTATAAGCACCAATTTCTCTTCGGAGGCTTTCGTTAGAAGTCTGCTCCCAAGTCTTAGCATTTGGTGACATCTCAGTTATGAAAAATAATTTCCCTCTTCCCCCATTTCCAAAATTAATAATATATTAATACTTCCTGTCAGACGTGTCTTTAAATCATAAATAAAAGTTAACAGTTTATTCTATGATTATTTTAGTATTGACGGTAGCACTTAATTTTCTAGGATTAACTTTATGAAAAGACTTAGTAACTACTTTAGGCCCACCCTACATTTAGACAGCAAAACTTAAGTGACATTAATAGGAAATGAAATTTTATAAATTAGGGATGAAGTTATACTCTTACCTGTTTCCCCAATTTATAGTCTCAAATATAAGATCTCTTATATCCAAAAAGCAAGCGATGAAACATTTACAGTTCTATGTTACATGACCATTATGGAAATTTGAGCCTATGTCTATTAATATCCATTAAATAAACTGTTTTATGATCAATTTATGAAGCTGGGGCAGTATTAGCAGTCTGTCTCCACAGAATCAACTGGATTAAGTGCACGGTCATCAGTTGCAGCAATTTCTTGACAAATAACACCAACTGCTATGGCGAATATTTTTGTGGTACACAGATGGGTAGTAAAACAGAGCACTTCTGCAATGCCAATGCGAAATGTTCCAAAACACAACTGCTATATAGAAATAGAGTTTAGCAGAATATGTGCCAACATTAGAGTATGTAAGATGGCATTTTAGTATCTTACTACACAAAATTTACTTCTGTTGGGTGTCTGGGGAACTGGGAAGAAGAGGGGGGAAGGAGAAGGAGAGATATTAATACTGGATTTGTTTTTTTCTACTGGCTACAGTTCTAGTTAAGGGTCAAATGTGTGGGCCCCAGAGACAGGGTAAGTACCTGAATCCTGATCCCAATTTCTACTGCATGTGCTTACCGGCCTTTCTAGAAATTTGCCATCTTAAGCTGTAAGAGTGAATTTCATAGGAGAAAAAGCAGTGGGCACCATATTTTCTTAATATTTCTGCATTCTTCTTTTGTAGTTTTCCACATGAAAGAACCTATACATACATATATACTGCTTCAGGGATCACAGTAATTTTCATTTTTTAAGTACTGAATTGAATTAATTTATTTTCACCATCCAATAATTACTTTAGGGCTTTTTTTTTTTCATTTAAAAGAGTGCTCATTATCCATTATTCCACGAGTATAATTGCATACCATTGGATAGCTGCATCATCATAATTACTAGTTTATATAGAAGATTCTAAAAATTAAAAATCACTGGGCAAGTCAAGCAAATCTGATTCATTTTTCCATTTGTCATAAGGATGTAATTCTTACATTTTCATTTCTAAACCTAAAATAATAAAAACATCCAATTCCTCTACAACGGATTTCTATGATATGCTTCCAAATGAGAAATGGAAATTTTCGATAATGGTTCATTTTAAGCATTACAAATGTCTTAGTCTGGTGTTTCTCAGAATGTGATCTATTGGTTGGTGCCAGGTTCTCAAGGCCAGTACATTTGAGAACCCAGGTAAAATGAAGTTAAATATGTTTCTTTACTAAAGAACCTTCAGAGTCTTTAATATGCTGCTATCAGTTTTGTTCTCCAAAAGAGCAGAGAAGATGCAGTGCTTCCTAAGCTTGTTTGGAAGTTTGGCCTTGGAAGTCGTGTGTAGCCATGGAAACTTGACCTTTTTGACAGCCATCATGACTAGGGTTCCTCTGAACACATTTTGGGAAACAGTCTTCACTGTTTCTTTCAAACATTTTTTAGTTTCTTTAGGTACCATATATTGCATACACACACACACATACCCCTCCTCTAAAGCCCAGAGCACACTG